CCATAGTGGGAAAGTGAATGGGTTGCCTCCAGTAGAAGGAGTGTCCTCTACCCAAGACCTGCCTCGTACAATCTAGGCTAGGGAAAATACCTCTTACCAACGGAAGCATCAGAATTGAGTTATCCAAGGCTGTTGTTTCCTTTGTGATTGTTCTCTCTCCCCAACATTTCATCTTATATGTATTTTGGGGCACTGTGTACAAAAGTATGGTCCAAATTTCCATAGGTTCTATCTTTCTAATAGTTCCTGAATCTGCCATGTTCTGGTTCACTGTCTCTCCTGTAGTCTAACTTAATGCCTAGTTCCTACCATCTGCATTTCTTATGTCATTCCCCTCCTGTACATTTCATCCTACACATTGTCCTCAGCCTCTTTGTCCCCAGTTTGGGCCCCTTGTAATCTTTTCTTTATACAACGAGATCTTTTTTTAAACCTGCAGTTTCTGGTTACAGAAGGTAGAATGAATTACTGGGATCTCACTAAAATATTTGTTTCTCAATGTTCCTTTACGAAAGAGTGTGAAGGAAACTACCAGTGAACAAGAGATTTCAATAAATATTTAGAAGATAGCATATGGAAGTGCACCAAAGGGAACAGGGGTGGCTAGAAGTGGAAGAGGCAGCTGCAGTGGAAGGAGGAGCTCATCTTCCACGCAGAACCTCTGAGAGGCTCTGGGCTCAGTGCTGGCAGGCATGAGGGGCAGAGAGAAGTCTATACATGCTCACTCCCATGTCCTCTACCCAAATCTGGAGCTCAGGTAACCCAACTTTAACCCCCAGATGGTTTCTTCTCCAAAAAGTCAATTCCTAGATAGTGCTGAAGTTTCAAGTATGGTGAAATTTATGGTGTGGCATCCCAAAGAGAACCATCTTTATTCCAGTATTTGAGGGGTCTGCTGTCCATATGGCTCCTGCCAACTCGGTCTCGCAATACTGCATGTACAAATGGACGATGGCCGGGTGTATATAAAAAGTTTTAATCCATTATCTGCAGTAATCAGCCCAGAAAGCCAACCTGCTATCTAAACCAGATTTACAAGAGATTAGACCACTATTTTAACAACAAGCCCAGGAATCCAATTACCCCTTTAACAATCGGCCCCAAACAGCCAGGACTTGATTAATGACTGACCGCTTCCCTAATTTTTATCCCTGCTTCCAACTGAGGATCAACCAGAGAAAACCAAATACACATTTCTAATCAATCACATAGGATGCCCCTCTTCTAGTTAGCCTGCCTATGGCTTCCCCATGCCAACAGCCTCAATTAGGGCATACCTGAAGCTTCCCACTTCAAAGCTTTCTCTCTGCCTGCTTTTGAGTCTCTTTCAAAACTCAAGTGATGGTGGCTGACTTCCTTGTTACAGGAAGCTCTGACCAAATAGCCTTTGCTTGTTCTCATTTACTTCCACACTCAGGAGCAGCCTTCTAGCCCACGAGCCTTCCCCCATATACCCAAAACTCCCCCTCAGCTTTGCTAGTCAGAGGAAAGAGCCACAGATACAACCCAGGACACCTGGACCAGCTAGCTAGAAGAATCAACCCAGCTCATCATTCTTAAATGTGGATACACAGCCAAGGAAACCAGACACAAAGAAAACTAGCGGCACACAGGGGAAGATGAAGGTAAAGAGAACAGATTGCCCTTGGAAGAAATAGGTCATTCAGACACTAGAAAAAAAGACTTTTTTAAAAAAAATTTTTTATTGTTATGTTAGTCACCATACATTACATCATTAGTTTTTGATGTAGTGTTCCATGATTCATTGTTTGTGTATAACACCCAGTGCTCCATGCAGAACGTGCCCTCTTTAATACCCATCACCAGGCTAACGCATCCTCCCACCCCCTCCCCTCTAGAACCCTCAGTTTGTTTCTCAGAGTCCATCGTCTCTCATGGTTCGTTTCCCCCTCCGATTTCCCCCTTCATTCTTCCCCTCCTGTAGAAAAAAAGACTTTAAAAAATTCTAATTAGATTCTCAGTGAGATTTTTTTTTTTAAAGATTTTATTTATTTATTTGACAGAGAGAGAGCACAAGTAGGCAGAGTGGCAGGCAGAGGGAGAGGGAGAAGCAGGCTCTCTGCTGAGCAGGGAGCCGGATGTGGGGCTCGATCCCAGGACCCCAGGATCATGACCTGAGCCGAAGGCAGCCGCTTAACTGACTGAGCCACCCAGGCGCCCCCTCAGTGAGATTTGAGAAGGTATTACATCCATAAAACCAAAAACAGCAGGTTGTAAAATCTTCTGGAAATTAAAAGTGGATTGCCAAAATTAAAAAGATTGGAAGATTAAGTTAAGAAACTAACAGAACAGAGAGCAAAAAGGTAGTCTATGTGGCAGAAAAGATAAGCCACCTTTTGTAACTTTTTCATAGCTAAATCCAGAAATGGTTCAAAGTGAGTACCTCTGGAATCAAGGGGCTGCCTGGCTGGGGCTCTGTCATTCTGTGCTAGAGGTCATTTTACCTATGTGTTATAGTCACATGCATGGATCTCTCTGCTTAAAACAAATCATTTAACTGCAAATCTAAACAATTCTATTCCACTACTGAAAACTGTCACTCCTCTAACCACAAACAGGGAGAAAGCTTAGTCTCTCTTTCCTGACCATCACTTGCTGTAAGCCTGCCCCCTCTCCCTTCACTCCTTACATTTGCCCCAGTTCCACTTGCCAAGGTGTTCTGTGTAAGCCTCATGAGCTGGGACTGTGGAGTCTGACCTACCTGGTTTCAAACCCACATATGTCTGTCTTAACTTGAAAGATGGGTGTTTAAGAGTGACTCTCAAAGCTTTTGGAAGGATCAGATCAGCTAATGCATGTTAGGAGCTTAGCAGAGCCCCAGACACAGAGTAAATGATCAATAAAGAGTAGCAGTCACTAAAGCTCTCAGAACTAGTCTTGTTTGGGCTAACTCAATTTTAACCTTACTTTGATTATGTTTAGGTAAAAATACCTAAAAATATTTAAGATTTTATTTTTATTTATTTGACAGAGAGAGAGCGAGAGAGCACAAGTAGGAGGAGCAGCAGAGGGAGAGGGAGAAGAAGGTTCCCTGCTGAGCAGGGAGCCTGATGTTGGGCTCCATCCGACCCTGAGATCATGACCTGAGCTGAAGGCAGTCGCTTAACTGACCGAGCCACCCAGGGGCCCCTAAAAATACTTTTTAAAAGTCATTCAACTCTCAGCTTTATTACCACACACATATCCTCAGACCCTCCAAGTCCTTAATTCTTAAGAAATTTTACCTATATGTATTTTTGAAGCCATAATTTATGATTCACTTAAGAGCAGGTGAAGTTCCTGCTTCAGATAGTTCATGCTTTAGGGACTGGCTGTTTTTTTTTTTTCCCAAAGATTTATTTATTTATTTATTTATTTATTTATTTATTTATTTATTTGAGAGAGAGAATGAGATAGAGAGCATGAGAGGAGGGAGGTTCAGAGAGAGAAGCAGATTCCCCGCCGAGCAGGGAGCCCGATGTGGGACTCGATCCAGGGACTCCAGGATCATGACCTGAGCCGAAGGCAGGCGCTTAACCAACTGAGCCACCCAGGCGCCCTGGACTGGCTGGTTTTTGTTTAGCACTTTTTTTGTGTGTGTGTGCCTAATGAAGAGACCTTTCTTCAGTGGACTCAGGCATCACTCCCTTTGTGAGGACCCCCAGCCCAGTCCCTATTCTTGCAGCCTCCCAGCCAAGTGCTTTGTCTCCACTGCTAGTGTCCGTGTCCTACTCCAGACTCTGAGCACCTCAGTTAGGAGGTCTGTCCTTACTGGTTTTAGAACTCGAGTGCCCTCCCTGTGACAGGATCTGTTCAGTGAAGGAGCACATTCAGGGTAAGCATGGGAGGAATGGAGATAGAGTTTAATCATAAGCAAGGCTTACTGATGTCTGGTGAGAATGAGTAACTGTTGGAAAAGCCAACTACCTCAGGTGCTGACATATTAGAAACCCTCTTTGTCAACGAAAAGGTTGTAGGGACGGCACCATCTATGCTGAGAAGCTGCTGGGCTTCAGGCTCTGGAAGGTTCTGAGTGGGTGGGTCGGCTCCCAGTCTACTTACAGAAGGGATGTGAAGGCTGCCCCAGTGCCCCTTCTCGAGCTCAGTTCTGACTTCTGTCTTGTTCTTTAGGGTGTGGGACTGCCTGAGAAGCACAGACTATATCCCTATTTCCTTTTTCTTTTTTAAGTTAAAATCATGGAGTCCAACTCCCTTGTTCCTCTGAGGGGAGAGGGAAGCATAGACAGTCTTAAATGAAGGCCAATGGACTTGCCAAAAGTCACATAGAAAGTGGTAAAACCGGATTAGAGTTTGGCTTCCAGAATTCCAGAGCTGTGTGTTGTGATTCTGGGGTTAAAAGAACAGGAAATGGGGCGCCTGGGTGGCTCAGTCCGTTAAGCATCTGCCCTGGGTCATGATCCCAGAGTCTTGGGAATCAAACCCCCGCATCAGGCTCCCTGCTCAGCGGGGAGTCTGCTTCTCCCTCTCCTTCTGCCCATCCCCCCGCCCCACCGGCCGCTGCTTGTGCTCTCTCAAAAAAAAAAAAAAAAAAGAACTGGAAATGCCTAAAGCAGTTGAGGGGCTTCAATCTTGTATCCAAAATAAAACCGATGGTCTGGGTGGTCCTTACCCTGCCTTTGGGTCTTCTGTATGGCATACCGCTTATGGAGGGGGGGAGGCGGTGTTGAAAGTCTTCCCACCAGGAGGTGTTGTGAGGATGTAACGAGAGGTCCTGGCACATGTGAAGAAGCTAATTGTTATGAGTTAAAAGTGGCAACCAACTTCGAGACTTCAGTGCGGCCGGCGGACTGGCTCCCTCTTTGTGCAGCCTGATTCCCTGACCATAGAGCTAGGACAGAGTGGGTCACACAGAGGGGAAAAGTCAACTGCTGTTTTATTGGAGGCACCATCGTGGGAAGGGAGGCCAGGGCTGTGACCACCAGCTCTGCCACGGAAGGAGGTGGGCACGCACTGGATGAGAAGGGCCTGGAGTCCCACATCGGAGTCCCACCGGCCATAAAGGCGGAAGGGGGCAGGTCACGTTGGCGCTCCCAGCCCCTGGCCGCCTTCCAGGCAGAGGAAGGCAGAACAGAGCAGAGGGGGGTGGGGTGGAGGCCTTGAACTGAATGTTCACGGCTCGGGTACCAGCATCTGCAGCCTCAGTGTCTCCCCTACCCCCCAGCCCGTGCTGCTCCATTTGAAGGACCCAAGAAAGGGGGCTGCTGTGGCCCAGCCTGACCCACAGCTGGGGGAGCCCAGGACTGTGGGTGGGAGGAGAAGGGGCTTTGGGATAGGAACGACAGGAGCAGGGAGAAGGCCATGAGCGTGTAGGAGGCTTCCCAGGACAGGGCCGTGCTGGCAAAGAGGCGGGCCACAGCCACATTGGGGTTGCACTGAGCAGGCTCAAACCACTTCTGCAGGCACTGTCCGCTGCCCCGGTGCTCGGGGCTCGCCTTGAAGGAGCGGCTCCAGATCTTCTCACACAGGTCAGCTGGGGTCGGAAAGTAATGGGGGAAAGGGCGGCAGGCAGCCCTTGCAGGGCAGCGGTTCTTCCCTGGGGGGGGATGGAGGCACACCCTTACCTCCCCATCCTTTGCCTCGGGGAGCAGAGGGAGCTTGCGCTTGCCCCCAGGTGGGGTCCCTGCCGAGCACCACTCACCCCCACTGTGGTCCCAGCTGCCATGCCAGTTGGACTTGCAAGTGTAAGACGTACGGCAGTCTTCCCACCACTGCTCACAGTCCTCCTGGCACAGGGGCGCATCCAGAATTCGCTCTCCTGGCCCGCCCGAGGCCATCTGGGTACAGGCATGGCAGGAGACAAGAATGCTAATAGCAATCATTTGAAGGTCGTCAATAGCGACGAGGGTACTTGGGCCAGGTACCCTCTGAATAGATTCTCTCATGGAGTCTGTAAGCATTGCTTTACCCAGGAGAACAAGGAGGCTCAGAGGCTCAATTGTTTGGCCCAGGCTACACGCTTCCTGCATCCAGAAGAACGGGATTGCAGTAGTCCCTCACCCTACAGTCCTCATCTCTTGCCCGCTACGCCGTTCTGCAGGGCCCGAGGTGGCTTCCTCTCTGACCTTTTCCCCAACCCGGCCTCTGACTCTGCTCTTGTCTGTAGGCCTCTGACTCTGCTCTTGTCTGTAGGGGGATAGCGCGGACTGCTCCTGCCAGCATCGCAGGGCTCAGGCCCTTAGTAACAGGGCACTGCGCGGACATGCCTCCCGCCTCCCCAGCCCAGCCTTCTGACCTTCCGGATCCAAGGCCCCAGGTTCGGGGAGCACTCGTAGAAGCAGACGGCCTGGAGGAAGTGCTTCTCGCAGCCTGGCATCATCACCCCACAGTGGAGCAAGCTAAAGTTGTAGAGCAGGGACACGTCTAGGTGGGCTTCCCAGCTGGTGCCTGCCGTGCAGCAGGCGTTGTCTTGCCAGGGGAGGCACTGAAGGCCGATGAAGAAGGAAAAGGCATGGGGTTGGCTAAGATGCAGGAGACCGAGGAGGACCTGGGCAAGTGGGATAGCTTCAAGCCGATCATACTCATACAGAAGAAATGCTGAGAATGTGTCAGAATCCCCAGCCAAAGGGCCCCGCATGCTGATCTCCCCATCACAGGCTGCTGCAGTCCTCTAGAAACAGGACTTGCAGGGTCTCGGCTCCCGGGGGGTGGCAGAGGAGCCCCACGAACCCCAGGGGGATGTGGAGCACTAAGAAGCGCTCACAGGGAAAGGCCAGCTCCACAACCCCTCCCTGCCTCCCCCGCGCCCACCCTCTCCCCCATCAACTGCCTTTAGGGCTTGGGGAGGGGTTGCCTAAATCCTAGGTCTCCCCAGTGCCTATTGGTAGGAAGAAGGCTAGAGGAGGAGGACCTTGTTTGCATCTATGCTGAACCAGGGCTGGGCCTCTGGGATCACCATCTGCCCCTGTTCCCCCAGGCTGGGCAGCTCAGAAATGGGAACTTTGAGGCACTCAATGGCTATGATCTCAAAAGGCCACAGTGTCCCTCCAGTGGCCTTGGCCTCAGTGCCAATGTAAGGAACCACATGAGTCAGGGTTGATGGTGGCTCAGAAACCGTCATGGAATTTGTGTCCCTTCCCTGATCTGCCAAAGCAGCCTCACTCCCACCCCCAGGCAAGGTCCGGCCTCCGTACCTCCTCGTAGAGCTTGTCTTCTGGGCCAGGCTCTTGCTTGTGGTGTTTGGTGTTCATGCAGACATTGAGCAGCTCGTCCCCAGCCCAGGTGGGCGGCGTGACTGTCCACAGCCCTAACAGGAGCTGCCACCACCGTTCCATGGCCGACTGCAGACAGGAGCCCCGCCTGCCTGTGCAATAGATGGGACAGGCACTCCATGCCCTCCACCATCCCAAGGAGTGAGGATGGGTTTCAGGGCTCTTTCAAGTGACCATGACCCTCTGGCTGCTTGTAGGACCTCTATCGGAGGTGGCATCATAAAATGTCAGGGCAGGTGGAACACACCTTAGCATTCTGACACCCACCCCCAAAAATGGACTCCCGGGAAGAGACCAGCCCTAAGGTGAGGGAGGGTCAGCGTGGAATGGCTCCAGCCTGGGAACTTATCCTGGCGCATCCCCCTGGGAGGCAGACGTTCCAACCCCGTGACATGTGGGCTTGGAAGTCAGAGCACTGATCCTGGATGAGTAACAGAGCAAATGCTCCATAACCAGATTCTACAGGGCGCAGAGGGCATGGTGGGATGGGGTGGTGGGACAGGTGCATCCTTATGCCATCGACGGCCAGCCCTGATGGAGCCCTGATGGAGCTACTGCGTCCATGCAGCCCTCCACCCCAAGCAGCTGGTCCTCCCCAGGGAGCAGTAGCTCTGCTTCCAGCAGCCCCAACCCATCTCCGACGCTCCGACCCTCCGAGCGCGAGCCGCGGGACGCAGAGCCCAGGGGGTGCGTGCCCACACAGAGTCAGCTGGGCCGGCCTTGCACACCCACAGCCCGCTCCTTAGCGCGGGAGCGCGGAGCCTGGCTTGCTTTCCCCTTGCTGCTTGTTGAGCGCTGTGTTTCCCACTCAGTTCCAGGTAGTACTGGTAATGCAAGGGAGGGGAACGAGAGACTAAAAAGAAGAAAGGCAGAAGAGCACCCTGTATCCAGTGCCCAACGCCTTGGGAAACAGGGCTCCCTCAGCCTTCACGCCCCCAGGAGCCCCTGGCTCCCATAGTCCCCTGGGCCTTGCAGGAAGGCCCCCGTGGCCCATCTCAGTGAAACTGAAAACCCCTGGCCTCACCTGAGTTTAGAGCGGCCAGTGTGCTGGGGATGGAGACCCCGGCCTCACGTTCCAAGCCCACCCTCAAGCCCAAACCTGCAGCTGCCCCCGCTCCCGTGTCAGGCCCAGCTGTGGCCATCCGGTATCTTTAAAGAAGCTGCTGTAACAGGGGAACAGAGGAAAGATGCTGCCCCTTCTAGTGCTTTCCGAATACTTACTTTCAAAGCAGGAGCCGCTCCCTCCCACTTCCAGAGATGGGAGGCTGCCATCTTGCCCATTTATTGCCCCCTCCACTCCCCAGCCGCCCAGGTGTGGGCACAGAGCTCCAGGTGGCGCCAGTTCAAGGGCATCCATCTCACCCAGGTCGAGGGGCCTCCTGTGGCTGGAGCTGGAGGCTTCCACTTCCTCAGAGAAGCAGAGACCCGGGAGCGGGAAGGATCCTGAGCTCTGGTCAGCGGCTGACTTCTGCCCTTTGCTCTGCCCCGGGCCAGCTGGATGACCTGGAGAACGTGGCCCACTCTCCAAGTTGGCCTCTTTATAGTATAAAGGGCTGTTTCATAACAGGGATGGCTGGGGGAAAGAAATGAAAGAAAATTCACAGAAAGGACTTGGCATCGTGCCTGGCACAAAGTAAGTCTTTTGGCTTTAATTCTTTTCCTTTATTCTGTGAAGCCTTTGTCTCTGGGTCCCTGCCCCGGTCTGCCGGCCTCTCCACCTGCCCCTTCCTCGGCTAAGACGCCTGGGATGCACCACCTGGTGGCTCGAGAGACAGCAACCTCTGTCAGCGCACAGGAGCTAAGGTTCCTGCTGGGGAACAGACACAGTGACCCAGAGATAAAGCAGGGCCTTGGAGACCCAAGAATTTAAATGCGTGACCAAAGCCCAAACCAACAAAACCAAAACAGTCCCCCCAACAGCCCACAAAACGATCTCCCTGAGCATACAGAGGCCCCTGTCCCGTGAAATATTCTGCAAGTGTCCTCGGCAGTGATCATGTGCACAAGAAAGTCCTTCTCAACCAGAAGAGGCTGGGACACTCGAACAGGACTCTTGGGAGAGGCCCAAAGATGATGAAAACGCTGGAAAAGGAGCCCCTCTCCTTGCCTGTTTCCTAAAACAAGTCCCCTCTCCGAGGGACAAGCAGCCAAAGTGACTGAAGTGTTACCAATACCTAGGAAATTAGAACAATAAGAGCATTTTTATACTCGAAGCACACAAAGCCCACTCTGGGTTGCTCAGCTCCGTAGCTGATGTGCAGACGTGAGTTAGTCATCACGCCGGAAAATGGAGTTCTCCGCCCGGTGATCACCACCGCGGCGGGCTGAGCGCCACGAAGGACCCAGCCTGCGCTCCATGGTCTGACTCACCCCTAGAAACGACCCCCAGCCTGAGCGCCCTCCCCGATTTCACTGTGGGGAGCCTGAGGCTCAGCTGGGGGAGGGGCAGAGCTTCATATCTGATGCCTGAGGGCCACCTGAGTGGGTTCCCTCCAAGACTGAAGGGGTAGATGCGGTCTGGGTCTCAAGTGAGGTCTGTTTTTCAGAAAGTCAAAGGCCAGAATCAGACGGTGTGCTGGGAGGCATGTGTGTCTAGCTTTATTTGGGAGCAGTGATGATTATTGGCCCAGCCTCCCATGTCTTTTTTTTCTTTAATTTTTAAAGATTTATTTGAGAGAGAGAGAGACTGAGTGGGAGCAGGGGCAGAGGGAAAAGCAGGCTTCCCGCTGAGCAGGGAGCCCGAAGTGGGGCTCGATCCCAGGACCCTGGGATCATGACCTGAGCTGAAGGCAGCCGCTTAACCGACTGAGCCACGCAGGCGCCCCCAGGCTCCCATGTCCTTAAGCAGAGTTGGGAGTCCCCCTTTTAGGGTCCGATGCCAAACAGTCACTGCATTTCTGTGGCCAGGCGCAACCCCGTGGATGTGGCCTGCCCGCCCTGCTCGAGTCCTCACAAACACTCCCGAGGCGCCTAAGCCTCCCAAGGCCCTGGGCGTGACAGGGCGAAGCCTCCAGCACTGAGGCCCAGAATTATGGAAATGGAAAACAGGACGTTTGGGAAGAAGGTGGAGGAGGAGCTTGCTAACAGTCTCCAGCGCCAGGCTTGTAGGCAATGAGCTGAAGTTATAATCTGCGCAGGCGCCGGGGAGGGAGGGACCCCGGGGAGGGACCCCTGAGGCTGCCTCTCCCAGAACCATCAGGCCAACATGTGCTTCAGCCGAGAGGCAGTTTGCAGCCCTGAGGAAAACTCATTTTTGCTTTACTGTGATTGAGTCCTCCCGAGAAATCTGGTTTGCAACTGAAAGCTGATGAATTAAAGCTGGCTGAGGATGAAGAAGCCATTTGAAGCAGCTGACCCCAAAGAACTTTTGTTCTGAGAAACAGAGCACTGAAATTGACAAGAGCAGAGCTGCAGCGGGGCTCTGGGAGGGCTGAGGGGAGGGCTGGAGGCGGGGGGCGGGAGCAGCCCAGCCCCTGCAGGGAAGTAGCCGCTCTCCGGCTCTCCCCCCTGCTCTGCTTGGGGGGTGCCAAGTTGCCACAGCCCACTGAGTTCCCCACGAGTTCCAGAGCAGACCGAGAAGGCAAAGCATTCGTGCCAGGAGTCTCCTGGTGAGGACCTGAAGTCCGAGGCCAGTTGAAGGGGACACCAGTGACTCAGAGTTCTTCATGGGTCTTATGAGTCCTTCTTTTCGCCCCCAAATCTAGTGGCCATCCTTGCTCAACTCTTGATTGGTAGGTTTGTTGTTGATCCCTAGCCTGCCTTCCCTCCACAGCTGTTCCCTCACCAAACCGTTGATGTAACTTCCGAAATGGCTCTGGAATTCAAATTCTTCTCTCCCTGTTTCTCCCCAGTTTCGGGGGCCATGACTACCTCTTGCCTCAATTACTGCAACCACCTCCTCACTGGCTCCTGTGTCCCTTGCTAGAACGTTCTCCAAGCAGCCAGAATGATCTAAATTTCCCCGTATTTTATTATGAACATTTTCAAACATAAGGAAAAGTTGAGAGAATTTTACAATGAGCCCCCTATCCCCACCACTTCGGTTTACCATTACCATTTTACTGTATTTTCATTGTCCCACATCTAGCCAGCCTTCCAGCCTTCTAGTTACCCACCAGGCTTCTTTTCCGTCATGCATTTCCAAGTAAATCACAGACCTCAGTATACTTCCTCCTAATCTGTGCATCCTTACCATTAACCAAGTTCAATATTTGCCTGCAGGTGTTTCCCCCCTCCCTTTCGAATGATCTTTTTAAAAGGTAAAGGTGGTTAGGATACTCCCATGTTTTTTTATTTTTATTTTATTTTTATTTTTTAAAGATTTTATTTATTTATTTGACAGAGACAGCGAGAGAAGGAACACAAGCAGGGGGAGTGGGAGAGGGAGAAGCAGGCCTCCCGCCGAGCAGGGAGCCCGATGCGGGGCTCGATCCCAGGACCCTGGGACCATGACCTGAGCCAAGGCAGTTGCTTAACAACTGAGCCACCTAGGCGCCCTCCCATGTTTTTTTAAAAAGCCTTCTGGGCTTAACATAAGTCCCAAATCCTTAACCTGCCGCAAGGACCCTGTTTCATTAGGTCGCTGTTTACTTTCCCTGCTAATCTGTTGTGTGTCTGTCGGCAGGCGCTCCTCATGCTGACATCGTGACTGCCCTGTGCCCTCACTCTGCCCGGCGGTTCTCTCCGAGCGCACGCTCTGGGGCTGCTACCTCCTCCTGACCCGTCAGCTCAGAGGACGATGGCTTCTCAGGGAACTTTTGTGCCCCGCCCCGCCCGCCCAGGATTGGTGAGTTGTTCTCTCCGGGTCTTACGCGGGCCCCTGCTGTGGGACTTACCGCCCGTCCTTGTGAATGGCTGCTTCAGCTCGGGGCAGGCGCAGTACTGCTCACGCACCAAACACGGTGCCTGGCCCAGAGTGGCCAGCCAGCACGTGTTTGTGGGGCAAGTGAGCGGGAAATACCTGAGTAGAATAGACGCGCATTTCTTTTTTTTTAAGATTTATTTAGGGGCGCCTGGGTAGCTCAGTTGGTTAAGCGACTGCCTTCGGCTCAGGTCATGATCCCGGGGTCCTGGGATCGAGTCCCGCATCCGGCTCCCTGCTCGGCAGGGAGTCTGTTTCTCCCTCTGACCCTCCCGACCCTCCCCCCTCTCATGTGCTCTCTCTCTCATTCTCTCTGTCTCAAATAAATAAATAAA